TAATTTTCCAAGACAGATTGTATATATGTCATCCTGTTATTGGGTTTTTAATTTTAGTATATACCTATTAAATATAATTATATTTCATCTAGTATAGCTTTTACTATTATTAAGAAAATTAAAAATTTACATTTAAAATATATATTTTATATTTTAAATCTGCAGACTCTTGGGAGCTGCACGATTATTACCTAATTACAATTAGCATTTTGGTCGATTTTATGTTTTTTGTTTAAATAAATATTAAGAAAATACGATGAATTACATTTTTTATTGGAACTACTTTCAAAGTACCTTGCGTACTTAATACCTAATTTTCTGCCTAACCTCATCTACCTCTGCTCTTACCATCCACTACCACTACCAACCGTTACTCCGTTTATATATATATATAGAAACACTAAGTGGCCTATCTTGCAACCATTCTATTTGTACACTATATTTGTTGCCTACTTTTTACTTTTCCCATAGGCTTTGGTCCTTTATTCCTTCATTGACCCAGTTTTCTACTTCTTCCAACTTCAGTTTTATTAGCCTCACCTTTGCTCCCACACCTTTTTACTTTTAATTGATATTCCTAGCAACATGGTTACTCATCGATAAGCTTTATGGATTTTCCCTGTTTTAATTTGTAACCTTTACCCAAATCTATCTAAATAAAGGTCCATATAACTACATAACAGTATAAATATTCTTTGCATAACCTCAATTAATTTCAATAACTTTAAATGTTTACCTATTCATGAGGTAGGTCGTATCGAAGGCAACAACATCATTGAAATATTCGTATGTTGCTCGGGTCCTTCCATTCGCCCAAAACAAATTGGTCACACGGCGTTCAGAATCCACTTCTATTCTGCTATAGAAGTTGGGACTTTGGAATTTCATTACCTCAAAGTACCTACGAACTGCTTCTCCATCACCTTCAATGATCCTAAGCCGTCTTTGTTGGTCTAAATAGTTCCTACAATCTCTCTCACTGAATCCCATGTTTTCATAACCACCATATTCCTGCACAATAGACTAATAGTTACGGCAGACCCTTATTCCAGCATTATCATTTATCTCTAGTGTTCTCCGCACTCCTAATGAAATGCTTTTATTGCAGCGGAAGTGACGACCCTTCGAGGGGCTGAGGTCGTGGCTGTGTTCTAGCATTACTAGTGTTACCGCATAACTCCCATCTCCATCCAGTGTCTGTACTAATGCCATTTTTGCTTTGCACCCTGCTTTCTGTGATGCAAAAAATTGAACCCTTCCTTGGGTTCTTGCTCCTAGGAAACCCTTCCCGTGTACAAGCCAATCTCACCCGTTTATATGTCCCGTCCGGAGATAATGTTGAGTTTCTAGTTGAAACTCCAAAACCCATCCGCTTCCCGTAACCCTTGTAGAACTCTAGCGCACTGTTGACAGAGTCAAAAACCATGCCAGCAGCTGGGACTATCCGCTCCTCATCTTCTGGTTCGGCTAAACCATCCTCCGAAGGAGTTTCCAACGCCACAATTTCACAAGCTTTTTCACTTGTAGGATTGAGTTCCACCTCCATCTCACCTATTGAAGGCTACTGAGCACATGATCCCTCCATGTCCGACTCTCAGCATAAACAATAGCCTCAGTCTGACCCTAACAGAGAAACAAATAATTTTGCAACA